AAGAATCGAATCTTTCTGATTTTTTTTTTATATTGAGTAAATTGAACTATTTTAATTTTAATTTTTTCTAAACAAATTAACAAATTAACGATTTCTAAATCCAAATTTTTGGCTCAATAATTTGTTTCATTTCTAATTTTTTAATTTTTGGCCCAATTACCCATTTTATTGTTTCATTTCTTAGCCAAGCAAGATCAAATCCACTAAATAACTCTAAACACAAATATTAAAGTGCATAACGTTGTCTCGACTCTCACACTCACTCTTGCAGCCTCGCTAATATTTCAAAATCTATACAATCATCGGCCGACACTGTGACCTCCGATCGAAGCTGTGACCTTCGCCAACCGAAGCTTTGATCATAGCGATCATTTGAACAAGGTAGTTTGCCAGTATCTAAAATTTCAAAACCATTGAATGTATCATTAGTTGTATTTATATAATATTTTTATAAATGTTAAAAAAGTTAATTATAGTACAGAACAGAACCGAACCGAACCCGAACGGTTCCATAATTATATTTGGACCCGACGGTTCCATTTACTAGATACCCGAAAAATTCGGTTCGGTTCGATTCTCTTTAGAACCGAACCGACCCGCGCCCACCCCTAATGAATGGTACTTTTGATATTTTACAAGACGTAAAGGGTTACTTTGGTAATTTAGGCTAACATGATTTAAGAACCATAACTTTCTTTGTGTTCCATTTGGTCGAAGTGCCTCGGTTTGGAGTTCAAAATAAGCCATAAATAAAGCATAAGCAAAACTAGAGACCAAAACCACAATTGTCACAATTTGATCAAACCTCAGTATTCGGTGAATCGTGGTCCAATCTACTTGAAATTTTGATACATTTGCACAACACATTAATCTTCACATTTGTACGTTTACAACCGTTCATTTATGTGATATTGCCATCTAAATAGTGACATAATTTAGTGAATTTTTTCCTCTTCGTTGTTGGACGTGAGATGTATTTTCAAGAGTAAAAATCCGGAGATAGTCATAGTTGTATGTTTCTAATTTTACGCTTGGAAAAGGTCTTGTTTTATTTCTCAAAAAAAGGTTGAACCCCAACCTTGAGGGTCCCCACCATCCCTCCCCTAAAGTTTTGTGAGGGAGGTAAATCACGAGATGTGCCCCAATAGATCAGGGAACAAGAGCTACATGTATACTGCGCTTACAATGAGTCCAATTCCATGTCTCAAGAATCGAACCCCCACACTGCGGCTATCAACAAAGTGTGAGATAACATCACTCATGTTCTTTGCACCACTGGGCTATGCCTCGAGGGCAGGTCTTGTTTTATTTCTTAGTTAGATGATGAGATGTTAGTGTGCAGTGATATGATGTTGTTTTAAGCCTATAGTATTAATTGTATCTGTTTGGAAAGTACGAATAAAAATTCCAAGTCAGCTAGATATTGATATGGTCTTGGTTTACAAGTGGTCATCGGGCTACTCAAGTTTGAGTGGGTCTTATTTGATAACTGTAAGAGTAAAAATTTGTCTCTCTTGTTGTTTAAAGCACCTAATAGACTCTATCTAAACATGTTATTGCATAGTGATAAAATATTTATTTTACGTGGAAAATCCTTTGTCAAGCAAAGGAAAAAAGTCAACCATCGGAATACAATGTTCTTTAATCAATACTATCAAGAACATAAAATCTTTGCAAACCAACAATAAATCATCTATCAAAGATGGAATCTCTCTAACACGATAACAAAAGATTTGGCCCAAGTATTAAATAGAGGCATCCAACAACTACAAAAATTTCAATGATGAATTCTTGGAGATGCCAAATTAAATTCAACAAAGAAGTATTCCACCAAATTTTGTCATTGTTTAGAAGGTTATATCTCTCAACTGAACAGTGCATCTCGATTTAAACTTCTAGATTTGAAAGTCTGTAGTTTTGAATCTTCAGTTTGACATCAAGTCAACGGGACCACTAACCACTGAAATATTGAGGTTGGATGACTTCTCTCTTTTCTATTTTCTACTTCTCCCTCTACTAACTGATTAGCTTGGCATAGAGTTTGAGGTTGAGTGGTTGAGTCTATCTACTAAAACGAACATGAAAAAGAAAAAAGGTTGGTTCATTTAGTCTTAATTTGCAAAGGTAGCCTTCAAGTCTTGCAAAATTACTAAAATTTCCATTTGGTTTATTTTTATGTTAGTCCACTATTGTGGCCTAACACATTTTAATCCTCCACTCACATCTTTAACATTAAGTAACTTTTTTCATCAATGAAATAATCAATTTGTGATCTATCACAAATATGATAATGTAGTAAATTCTTTACTAAATTCTTGAGTGCTTAGCTATATCCAATTATAAAAAATTCTTAAAAGGGATATTCAACCCTCTTGAGATAATAATGTATCAATAATGTCACTTTTTTATATCTCAAAGAGAGGCACATTACATACTTACATAAGACTAGCATGGTATATAGTGTCAAGCAAGTAAAGTTAATAATTCAATGCTTCTTAAATTCACATTTTCTTATCCAGTGGAATCCAAGTGGACTAGTGTCTTTACTCGAAAGTTCGTATTGCTGTCACCAACTTGAGATAATCACACAATTGAAGGCACAACATGATATAAAAAACAAAATGTCTAACTTCATTTTGAAAACATGAAAAGAAATCTAGATCTATTATTATGAGTAATGTAACAACTCTTAATAATATTGAACTGGGAAATCAGTATAATATATTATATTTCGTTATAGAAAGCATAGACCTCCCATTCATTACTATTAAACCTGATTTGAATTGGCTGATTAATCAACTCGGTTCTCTAGATGAACTAAACAAAACATTGATTCACGAACAACCACGTTAATCTGGTAAAAATGGTTGACAGGTTACGTGAATTTAGCATTTGACTTGCAATAATTTTAAATATTAATTGCGGATCTCTTACTCAAAATTGCGACAAGTTTACAAAACATATTTTTACCAAACAATCCGTATCATTTCTAATTATCTTCTACGTAGTTTCAAAAAGTTTTGTTGTGATCTCTTTTTCTTTAGCTTTCTCCTGTCCAAATTCATTATAATTTTATGTTTTGAGTAATTAAATAGTGCTTTATTCAAACTTTATATTATTTGACCTTTTTTTTTTTATACAAAAGTTCGTGATATTTACTATTATTATATGTGATAGCAATGACGAATTCAGGGGTCGAGTTCAGATAGGGCAGACCGTGAGCGTTGAAAGCTCACTATTGATGATGAATGTCTGTGATAGCGGGGTTATTTATACATGGCACCAAATATGAACCATCTACTAAAAATTCAGCTTTTCTTAGACATCATTATCCCACGATTTCTTTTGATTATACAATCTTTGAGGAAGAAGACATCTTTTATCCAGCCTTATAGCTTGATATGATAGATTTTATATACGTTCAAAACAGATCCTTCAAATTCATTCCACGTAAAATAATTATATCCCTTCCGTTTCCTTTGCTTTTAGTTGTTCTAGTCATGTTTTTGTAGTTTATGAAATTGCCCATTTTCTTGAAAGCACACCGACCTATGTTTTTGTATTAAAACTCACAACTTTCTTGAAAGGCCCATTTTCTTAATTGTACACTATGACCCATGTTTCTTGATTATATAATAATAATAATAATAATAATAATAATAATAATAATAATAGGACGGGGTAGATGATTAATAAAAAATTTAGAAGAGACCCTTTTTTTTTTCTTTTTTTTTTTTTCTTTTTTTTTTTTTTGCATGTGCACTTCCTCATAGTTATCGAGATATTTGAATCAAAAGTCGTGCACATGCCTCAATCAAAGATAGAAATGCAATGATTGCATTGCACGAGACTTTCTTTAAGCCAGTTTGAAGTGTGTGTGTGTGTGTGTGTGTGTATAAACTACATGCTCAGGATAAGAACAATGTAGGAGGATCCATTTTGATCAAAACCATATCACCTGATCACTATTATTAATTTTTCGAGTAAATTCATCAGCAGGGATTAACTTTTATTTTAGTTTTAACTGAGTAACTAAACTTTTGAATTTAGTTCCATATTTTCGCCATTTAATTATTTGTTATTTCTCAAATTGATAAAAAAAAAATGTTTAAAGGGAAGGCATATCATAAAGAATCTTCCACATAATCACTGTATGACTTGCCAACTAACCACTTTAAGAAATTGTTGAAATTCAATAAAAACCCAAAATGAGTTAATTATTATTTGAATGAATTATTTCATTTGTGACCAAAACAATAAATTAGTGTTTGCATGTGATTTGAATTTCCAAATATAATTGTTTTGGGGAAAATTTATTGCAACTTTTCTTTTTTGTTATGAAAGGTGACTTTTTGGGGACAGAGAGATTAAATCACAGCCTCCCTTCCTTGATCCTTCAATTATATGGCTGCGTCGTTTGCATTAAATTTGGAGTATTGATTCCTTCAATAGTGTTAGAAATTGTTTGGTGGTGGTGGTGGTGGTGGTGGAGAAGGAAGGGGAGAAAGGATGAGATTTTTTTTTTAATTTTTTTTAATAATTTATTTGGAACTCATTTATACTTTTTTTGTTTAAATGTGGAGTATGATTGCAATTAGTTCTTTATTTTTCTTTATTTTTTGTTTTTATTTTATTTAAATATGAGGGTATATACGTCATTTCACAATTTTTATTGAGAAATTGGATGGAAATGAATAAAAGGATGATTTTCGTAATGAAAGATTGAAATAGAGGTAAAAATACAAAAAATAAAAAATAAAAATAAAAAAATACAACGTTGGGACGATTTGCACAATAAACACTATATATAGGGATATTTTGTACCAATAACTCATTGTTATTATAGCTCACCACTCGAAAAGCCCTTTTTTTCAACGTCAGATACTGAAAGTGTCTCCTTAAAAAATGCCAATTGTATTAGTCAAATGCTAGCCTTCAACGAACTTGTCAAATGAATTGAGAAACCAAATATAAATAGAGATGTATTAATTGTCCATTATTACATTTATGTGAAAACACTCGTTCTCATTAATCTCTCTCTCTGCCCAAACCAACAATATTCAACCAACAATACTTGATGGGTCTCTCTTACCGAAATCTGTCACTTGTAGTCACAAGCTCAGATCTTCTTTCCCATCTGCAAGATTTAGAGCTCGATGGAGGAGAAAAAGTTGTTAGCTTTCAATGGCTTGGGCCACACTTTTTGGCTATTCTCGAATATGCAACAAAACTGTACGATCGTCGAGACTCAGGGTATTATGATGTTGATCCAGAAATAGGGTCAATACCGCAGTCCAACAACAGATTTTGGGAGCCGTTGGAGCTTCTTGATGATTCGGCCTGCGCTTGCATCTTACATGGAGAGACTGAAGATTACAAAAACTTTTTAGAAATCATTCTCTCTTTCATGCCAGAGCTTAAGAACTTCTTCACGATGCAAAACTCGCTTTACCTCCTTCAATTTTCTTCTGAGGATCTCCCTTGGGACGTAGAGAGAATTTTTGTGGGGTCTTATGCATCAGTTATATGGGCAGATTCCATCGAGTTTCTTATTGAAACTATTGGAATTTTGCTTAGTTGCCAAAGGCTTTCCAATGTTCTTGTGAGTAATCAAGTCAGTGTTCTTCTGAAGGAACTGAAATTTCTGTCCACTTTTATTCTTGATACATTCGAATGCGTTGGAGACGGAGAACAGAACCTGCATATATTGCAAGATATTGATGATGTTTTTATGGAAGTAAGGCTTTTCTTGCAATCTTTCTTTTTCACAACAGACACTGTTACTGCGAGAAAAATGGATCGGGCAGTTTTTGTTCTGTTAAGAAGGATTGAGATTGTGAAAGTGAAGATCAAAGATCGTTGGGTTGCATTCTCAACGAATCTTGGAATTGGAAGCCTACAAGTTGAAGAAAGTCCAATTGAAGTATCATCATCCCAAGATAAAAGCATTCCCATCGTAGAAGAGACGCCGGTGGGCCTTGAGGAGATGACAACACGAATTGCAAGCAAGCTTCTTGGAGGACCAGAATACCGCCAGATTATTTCAATTGCTGGAATGCCTGGACTTGGGAAGACTACTTTAGCAAAGAAAATATACGTACTTTCCAATGTTCGGCACTATTTTGATAAGCTTTCTTGGTGTGTTGTTTCTCAAACTTATAATAAGAGAAAGCTGTTGATAGACATTTTGAGCTCCTTAAGTGACCTTAACAGAGACTACATTTCAGAAATAGAAGATGAAGGAAAGTTGGCCGAACGTCTTTACAAAAGTTTAAAGGGTAGAAGATACCTCATTGTTATGGATGATTTATGGGATACAAATGCATGGGATGATTTGAAAAGCCTATTTCCAGAGGATAGAAATGGAAGCAGAATATTGTTTACCGGTCGGCTGAAAAATGTGGCATTGGAAATTTCACATGTTATCATTGAACCTCCTCTCTTGTCAACAGATGAAAGTTGGGATTTATTAAAGAAGAATGTGTTCAAGAAAGAACGTTGCCCTCAGGAACTGCAAGATATTGGAATGCAAATTGCAAAAAATTGTCATGGACTCCCGCTTTCAGTCGTTACGATAGCTGGAGTTCTTTCGAATATGGAGAAGCAAGCAAGCTCATGGCAACGAGTTGCAAAAGAATTAAGTGCTTTTATTTCCCAAAAAGCTGATGACTACATTCCCTCATTGGAACTTAGTTTCTGGCATTTACCAAAGCACTTGAAGCCTTGTTTCCTCTATCTTAGTGCATTCCAGGAAGACGAGGAAATTCCAGTTGGAAAGCTATTATTACTATGGATAGCTGAAGATTTCATAGAGAGAAGGGAGCAAAAGAGCCTAGAAGATGTAGCAGAGGAGTACCTAACTGACCTAATTAATAGGAGCCTGCTGCAAGTTGCCAAAAGAAGAAGTGACAATGGAGTAAAAGCATGTACTCTTCACGATCTAATACTCGACATGTGCAGGAAAATAGCTGTAGAAGATGAAGGATTTCTGTTTCAACAGTAAGTTTACTCACTTTCTTTCAAATTCTTTCTCATTTTACTTTTGTTATTTATCCTACTAATTTATGGTAACTATGTTGCTGTTGCTGTCGCTGTTGCTGGTTGCTGTGGTTAAACTGATGATGATCCTCCATATTATTAATCTACTTATTTAGTCAATTTTTGATATCTAAGAATCGTCATCGCTTGTGCATGGATCGGTCTCTTCATCTCACCAATGCCTTATCCACTCTTTACAATCCAGAAAAAGTTAGGATCTTTTATTCAGATTCAGTACCCGGTAGTAGCGTTGTTACTGAGCTGGGAATCAAAATTATGCCTGATTTGAGGTGTTTGAATATTTCATCATTAAAGTCATCAATAAGCAGACTCCAAAACCTAGAGTTTCTTGTTGTGAGACACTGTTATGCAGAAATACCAGCATACCTTCCCTGTATGCCTAAGTTGAGACATCTATGTATTGGACGAGGATCTCACCCTGCACGATTCAGTACGGAATGTGATAACTCCCGAATAAATAGCCTACAAACTCTTTTTTACGTTGATTTGGAAGATGAAGAAATCTTAAGATGCTCACCAAATCTTCGTGAGCTTAAATGCACATCTCCAGACAATCGTTGCCCTGATCTCAACTTTCTTCCTCGGCTTGAATCACTAACAATGACTTGGAGAGGTATATTCAAAGGTGATTATTCAGTTGTTAACTTTCCTAGGAATATCAAAAAGCTAACTCTTTCTAAATTCGGTTTGCCTTGGGAAAAAATGTCATTAATTGGGACATTGCCCAACTTGGAGATTTTGAAATTACAAGAAACTTTTGAGGGGGAAATTTGGGACACCAAAGATGACGAATTCCAAAAACTCAAATTCCTTCAATTATATCGCCTGGAGCTCAAACAATGGAATTCGTCGCACAATCATTTTCCTGTACTCGAACGATTGGTGTTGCGAGATTGCATAGATTTGGAGGAGATTCCTTTTGAATTTAGTTACATTTCAACAATACAGGAGATTAAGGTACTTTATTGTGGCAAAAAAGTCGAAACTTCAGCTTGGGAAATTCGTCGAGAACAACTAGATTATGGTAATACAATGTTTGATGTGACCATCCAAAGCATTTGATTGTGAAGACAACCTCGTTCTACAGGTTTTGATTATAATAGTTTTTCAATTGATATCTTGTGTTAGGATTTTTATATGGTATTTTAAAATTTTCTTATAGAATATTATTTTATCGCATTGCATAAATAAGAAAATCCGATTATTTTGAAAAAGAGAATTAATGAAATGAAAAATTATGTTATCTCAATTATGTGATCAAATTTTAATAGTTCGTATGAATCATTAAGTTCTTGATTCTTAATTTTGTGACATTCAATAATGAATCAACATAAATTATAAAACTCGTAAATTTCATATTCTTACGCTTCTACACGTACTAGTTTACGATATAAACATGCACTTAACGCTGCAAGTAAATCAAACATATTATAAAAAGTTAAATTACATTTTATTGGATACAAACTATGAAGAAGAAAGGGAAATCCATAAAAAGAAACTTCGGGAAATATCACCAGGTTTGTAGGACAAAGACACGGCCCTTATTCATTTTACGAACTAATACTAATTTAAAAAGATTGAACCCCAACCTTGAGAGTCGTCACTGTCCGCCCCTTGAAGTATCGTGAGGGAGGTAAATCGCGGGATGTGTCCCAGCAGGCCAGGAAACAAGAGCTTGTCCGTACACTAGTGTTCACAAAGAGTCCAATTTCATATCTTAGGAATCGAACCCTAACACTGCAGTTGTCAGCAATATTAAGACTACCTCACTCCAATCATTTGCATCACTGAGTTAAAACCCGAGGGGCGAACTTATACTAATTTACATATAAGTAAACTTTCTTATACGTAAATTTTTAGACTTATAAAAAAAATGTATTTATGGTGGTAAATATGTTATACATTATGATAACATCACTACAACAAAATGGACTTTTTACAGTGTCCAATGCATGCCGTAAAAAGTCATTTACGGCGTGCGGTCGCATGTCGTATAAAGCAATGCTGTAAATAGGAAGATTTTTTTACGGCATGCAAAGAACGCCATTAATAACTTTTTTACGGAGTTTACAAGCATGCCGTAAAAGCTTAACATTTAGAGCGTGCATGTGCACACCGTAAATAGTGTAAACTCACTATTTACGGCAGCGTAAATAGTGAGTTTACACTTTTTACATGCACTGCCGTAAATAGTGAGTTTACACTTTTTACGGCGTGCACACGCACACCGTAAATGTTAATTTAGTTTTTTAAAAATATTTGTCTATTTGGTCATCAACAAACCCATAATAATTACAAAAGAAAAAGATACACATTAATCATATATAAATAGATTTTATATATGTCCACCAGCCCTCGGCACTTGTTTATATATAAAACAAATTTTATATATATACATTCTACACGTAAATTTCGTAGTAAATCTGCTGGTTTGGCATTGGACTTGTTCTTGAGAGCATCTGCGAGTTTTTCAGTAACAACCCATTCGTTAGCTCTCTTAGCCTCGAGCAGATCCATGATGGTGGCCTTGTTACAGTGAAAAGACATCACGTTCTCAAACAAGACCCAATAAAACAATAAATGAAAAGACCTGAAAAATCAGAATTTTTCATTAGTATGGTGGCAGCTTTACTGCAAATTCAGCATTTCGTTTGGTACAAAATCCGACCTTGGAGTTCCGACTGAGTTTAGAGCTGTGATGATGCAAGGAATATAAATGGCTCCCCATTTCAGAACATCAACTTCAGGTACCAAAATTGTCAATGGGAGTACAACATAGTAGGAGATGAAAGTGAACGTGTGAGCAATGATCTTCCTTACAAAGAAGTTGTATATTACATAAAACTTCTTCCATAGAGATACTTTCTGCCAAATCAAAAAACAAAAGATTTTGAGTTCCTTGTCAGATGAGATCAGGTCCTCAGATCCAAAAAAAACCAAAGACAAATTATAATGTTATCCAACAAACCTTATTCTTGGCAATTTCCATAACCATTTTTCTGAATAAATTGGCAGGACCACAAAACCAACGATGCTGCTGAAAACGGAAGGCTTTAAACATACTAGGAATCTCGCTTTTCACCTAATAAGGAATTAAATATTAATTAGAAGTTGAAATATGTTAAAAGATAAGCATGTTTAGATCAAAAAGATCTTGATTATTGTATTGTTCAGTCGTAGTCGTGTCAATACCATGTAGCCCTCAACACTCCAGATTTTATAATTATAACATCAATACTTGTTCTCCTTGATGGCAGAGAAGTAGAACTATAAAAAAACAAGCATCTAAAGCAATGAGATAACAAGATTCTCAAACCTCTTTCAACACCCTTCAAGCAGTAAAAGTTTTGAAAGATGAAATACAATTTGATGAATTGAACTATAGATGAAGACATTGATCCAATTACATGTAGCTGACAGAGTGCATCTCCAATTCAAGAAATAAACCATGTTGTTACACAAATAAACAAAATTTATGGACTTTTTAAGAGAAACTATGATGGGATATACCTGCATTCCACATTCTATAGAAATGGTACGAGAAGTTGATTCACCAAATGATATTTTTGAAATCCAGTAACCAAAAAAAAAAAAAAATGCTGCAGCGTGTAACAGGACCACTAGGAATATTAATTGTGCCCCCTGAGTTTTCAGGACGTTTGAAACTTGCCCAATCTAATGAAGGGAAAAACAAAGAAGCTCTACATCAATATGTGCAAGAAGGTAGCAGGAAGCAACACTGTCTAAAGTCTATAGAATAATAGATAGATCCCATAGTTGTTACATAATGAACTTACAGGACTTGCACAGAACTTATGGGATAATTGCACCAGAAGCGCCACGTTCAGCAGCTCGCAATCAAAAATCAAAAAATACATATGAATTTTTCTTTTCCCAGATGCTAATCCCAGTAAAAAATGACCAGAACTTGGAAATTAAAGCAATATCCAGAAACTGATCTTAACCAAAATCGCCAAAAATCCAAACAAACAAATATAATACCAAATAGTCAGAAGTCCGGATTAGAAGGTTAGGGTTCATTGAAACTTACGGGAAGTGGAGAGATCCCATCAGTGGCGAGAAAAAGAAATAAACCAAAATCAAATAATTAGTCTCTTTTCACGACATGTACCGTAAAAGATTGTTTTTGTTGTAGTGCAGACTTCACTATTACCGTTGTGGGGAGCATTTACAGCTAAAGAAAGTTCGAAGAAAGTGTTACATGTACATAATTGTTTACATAGTGGTGTCCATAATTATACGTGGCATTGGATCTAACATTTAATTTAAATGTCACACTTGCACATCAACAATCGGATGAGTGCCATATCACATTACGAACATTATTATGTGCAATAATTATGTTTAAGTAGAATTTTCCTTACAGCTGATATGGCAGTTTCTATTTTAATCTTCAAAAGATCTTTCTTCTTTTCATTAGCCTGAAAAAAAAATGTAAAAAATTTATTAAACAATTAGCAAAATTTATGCACCGCAAGCATGTCTCCAATAAGATAATTTAACATTACCTCAATGGCATTTGATAAAACAGATTTAGAGATTGTTTTCGAACAATATTATGCTCCTGTTTTATTTAGTTAAAAAAAATTAATAAAAATCTAAGTCAAAATAAATAATAAGCCCATGTTTGACGTAGTTTTGATAAAATGTGTGATTGAAAAGTTGTGAATCCTATAAAATGTATGATTAAAATTAATTAATTATTTTTATTTAATTTTTTACCTAGATTTTAATTTATACTAAACAATGGCTAAATTCTAATCAGACATGTAGTGAACCCAAATCTTTTGTCAATAGTTCAAGAGTTGAGATCTGCAATCCTATTTTGTAGGCAAATTGGCTGTCTAACCAATTAATTATTAACGTGTAATCAATTTAGTGGTTTAGTGTTGAAGTTCACGAGGGTAAATTTGAAATGATATGTAATTATTGATGATATATTAATAATTGATTGATTGGATAGCCAATCAAATAGTAAAATTGAACAGTTGATTTTCGATGAAATTTAGCCTATGTTTCAACACATATCCCGCTTACACATGAGGACGCATGTTTAAGATGATATTTAAGTTTCTCTAACTGCCTACTCTTTTAGATGCTCCAACACAAACATGCTCTAATCATTATTTTATTTTTTTGGTGGAATAAGTGATGAATGTAACATATATTTGTTATGTTATACCTTAGTACGTACTGTTGGGAACTACTGATCTTAGTGCATAGAGCCTTTCATTGAGGTTATTCCTTCTATTCCTCTATGAAACAATGCTTCTGTTGGCCATCGATGATGACTGTGTTCCATCTTTTGAGCTTGAATCATTGGGTGTAGGAATTGCTTCATCCAAATAACTGATAAGATCAAACCAATTTCATTAAGGTATATTCCATAGACATGAACATAAAAGGCAACCCAGAATTCGTGTTGGGGGTTCAGGTTTACATGAACACGTGACAACGACACAAACACAAACATGAATGCAAATATTAAGTGAAGAGAAAATTTTACCGTTGAAGTTCTTCTGCTTGGAGGAACATATTTGTTTCCCAATAATGCATGTATTCATCACTAATGTTCTCCATTGTGTGCGAGGACGCGTGAAATACTGGGAAGAAATGCTTTCTTGGAGTTGGAATGAAGGGGTTCTGGGTATAATATGAGAGGTTGTATGAGAATGAAATATATGACCTTTTTGTTTGTAAAGTGAGTGAAGTACTCCATCATTTGTGTTTGTGTAACTCAAATTTTCAATTTTCTTAATGGGATAATTTTAAGCATCGGTTATTGTACGTAAACATGCCTACATCATTTTTTTTTATCTTGATGAAATAAATAAAAATATCACCATCTTATTTTAAAAGTCAACAAAATTGCAACGAAATGATCAAAAAAGAAAGAAAGCGAGGCCCTATTTAAGTGAAATATTGTTAAAAAATAATAATCATAAGAGATGGCTAGGATATAAAAACCAATGAGTTTATTTTCTCAAAACTACGAATTTTGGATTTAGGCCCTGACGGGCCCTTAATCTTTGGGAGTGGAGAAGACCATCCTTATGGTGGATTTGGACAAGTCCCACCTACCTGCATTGCTGTTGGCATAGGTAGCGGAATGGGTTAGGCAGTGATGGATTCAAGATTAGATCCAAAATCGAGCTATGAAATTTCAAACCGGGCTGCTACGTGAAAAAAAAAATTTACACATAAAAAACTGATTTTTTACCCAAAAAAAATAAAAAATACCTTTAAAAAAATTTGTTGGGCCTGAGGGGGGAGGGGGGGCTACCCCCGCAAATCCGGCCCTGGGGTTAGGGTTCGTATTTGAGTTTAGCAAAAGGTTGTATTATGGATAACGACATCTTGATCATTGGCTACACAATTGTAACTCTAAAAATGCAGTGTAATATTTAGTTATGATTCTTGGCCTAACCACAATGTGGCTCAGACTATCTCGTCTTCGAAAGTTGTGACAGAAGTGTTCATAGAGAGACTTACTAGTTGTATCTTTTAAGTTAAATAGTTCTTCTGAGTGCAATAATATAAAAGGTCATGACCTGTGAACGAATGACCACGTCCAATATATACATTTGTGCTCCCATCTTTGCCGTGTTTAATAGTTACAGCATTTTCAAAAAACTTCTTCCAAATTTTTAATCAATTTATATTTTAATATATTAGAGTCCGTTTGATTGAAAAGATAGAATTGAAAACGAATTTCAGGGAATTGAATTGCCTAAAAATTATTTTTCCGGGAATTGTAAATTATTGTGTTTGATTGGTATAATTTTCCACGTAAAAAATGTTGAAATAAAAGTGTTTTTTGATATTCGTTTGGCTATCTTTCACATGAAAATTGTCAATTAACGGGATAGATTTTACTGATTTTGGATATGAAACTTGTTTCCATTGCAAAAAAATAAAAATAAAAATCATCTATCTTTTGATATTTATTTGACTTTGTTTTACATGAAAATTGTCAATTAAAGGGAAATATTTTTTGGGAAGGTGGGAATTGGTTTTCCCTAAAAACCAAGAAAATTTCAAATTTTAAGAAAAGAAAGAACTTGAATTCCATGGAAAAATATACCCATCAAACACCTTAAAAGTTGAAAAATGTTGTTGAAATTTCATTTTCCATGAAAAATTTTGGTGTATCAAACACACTCTTAGTTCAAAAAGATTTTCACGAAGTACAATTTTTTTAATTAAAAAATTTAATTTGGAATTTCTATAAGATTGAATAGCTATTCTTATAAGGTATAAAATTCATTATAATTTGATAAATTGCTCGAATCCGTCATCATGATGGAATGCATTTGTTTCAAGAATTGAACAGGAACATTCAACTCAGACAAATGAAAGTTATACTTTATTTTTGTAGAACTATTAAGCATGCAGCATGTGTTCTAATATCGTAAAAACAACTATTACGACCAAATTGATGCACAATCTTATCATTCACTTGTTATATTTAATCCAACCTAGTTATTTTGCATATGTAATCCATTATGCACCTTTGATGATCTCAATCAACTTGGTGGCTGGATTGTGTTTTGCATGCATTCCATCTTTTAGTCTCGTCTACATATTTCGGCAAGAGCTTGAGTCAGCACGTCTACACACCAAAATCAAAGATTTTCTTTGGTTCTTGACCATATACTGGATCATATAACCATGTAGCTTCAATATTTGAATTTATTTGTCAAAAATTTGAAACATGAACGATATATAGTCAGACAAAATGTTCTACATCATTTATGTTTAGCCTCTAACATTACATTAAATATGTGCAAATTCGTTGAAATTTTGTGCACTTTTTCTGCACATGTTTTATTTTTGAGATCAATTGATGTAATTGATTGAGTTCATTCTAATAATCAAGTTAATTATTTCTAATATTGATATCTAGGCATTTATTTCAATCTATATCTTAAACTTTATAATTTTGAATAATTAACCGCTTCTAAGAAAATTGTTTTATGATGTTAACTATAAGAATTAAACATTATGTATTTTAATTTTTTTTTATAAATTTAATAAGTACAATTTATTTATTTTTTTCCTCTTAATTTCATCCATTCTTGGAGGAAACTAGGAATTGTGATAAGATTGTACCTTTTTCAGATCTGCAATCCTTTTGCTTTTCTTTTCGTTCCACAACTTTGATTCGCCACCACAGCTGTCCAATTGTCCAGCCTCCAATGGTGATCCACACAGAGAAAATGATTGCAGCCTCTAGGGTTTTCTCTTGTGCTAGCAAGAATAATGAAAACCTTAATGGACCTCAAACCCTAGTTATGTATTTATATAAACCCAAATAGGCTCGGCCCGGTCCGGCCCAATAATTAATTAATCCAATTAATTAAACCCGGTCCGTGAATTAATTAATCCAATTAATTAATTCGAAAATATAAATAACAAATCCAATTAATTAATTTATCCAACGATTGTTAAATTAATCAATTGGCAATTTGCAATCTTCCAATTCTCTTTTGTGTGTGACCCATTAGGTTCCCGACCACGATGCCTAACGACGTGAAATATTATTTTGATCTAATCAAAATTGATAAATTAAAACACTCTTTTAATTTATCGTCAATTCACATTCGCCGTCCCTGATTGACATCTAGCAATGTGTCAGGGCAATACATGTGACGGGAAATGTCACGTGGTATGACAAAACCAAATTCGTTCGTTTACCGTGAAACTATAATCCCTTCGTCAATATGATCCGATCAATTACGAGATATGGAATTGTGTCAATCTCGATCATCGATCATATCTTTCACTCCACTATTAAGTCAATATAAATCGAAAACTCCTTTTCGACTTATGAGTACACCTTGGCCAAGGATTTCATCATTGACTTAATTGAATGAAACGCAGATCATAATCTCCTACTATCTAAGAGTGACGAATCCTTTATTGATCAATCACAACCTTCATACGATTCTTGACGTACCCGAACGATGTCGTATTAGCGGCCCTTTTCAGAGCAACATCCAACACCGCCAAAGTATGACTGTCCTCATATAAGGTACCATGACGACCTCAAGTCAAAAGGACCAATTCCACTACCGAACGTTAGAGATTAACCACCGACACTCAGATAGTTATCCATGTGGAATCTCTCGACGGGTCTCCAATGTTTTGTT